AGTTGGTGAAGGTAATTGTTATGTGTTTATAATTTAGGCGTGTAAGTGACATTAATCCTGTAATATATACTGTGCAAAATGACAAGAATGCCCTTTCACCGTTAAAACTAACGTCTGAATTTTAACGATGGGTGGGAAAATGTTTTATTTTTCAAAGTTTAGGGGTGAGAAAATGTATATTCGCCAAACTTTAGGTGGAAAAATGTCATTTCTAAAGATGATGAAGAAAAAATGGGTTACGCTCCTGGAGGAGAAATGGGGTAACAGAGTAGGCCATAAGTTTTTGTATAATTATATTGAATGCAGCCGAGTTTGAAAACAATTGCGTTTGTGATTATATTTTACTTATTCAAGCAAACAGAAACGTGCATTCATCTATTATTTCTGTAACTTGTGAATTCATTAATCATTATCGGAATAGATGACATCTTTGTTTGTTTATTTACATTCTACCAACATTACTTATATTTCACTGCTATGGTCCTACCTTTCAGCTCCACTAGTCCCCAATTTTTCAATTCTCTCCAGGTTAATTAGACTGCTGGCCATTGTTTTAAAACCCAATCCGTTGTTAGACCCAAAAAAGTGACTAGGTCACAAGTTGACCGGTCCAATCGGTTGGACCGGTGACGCTAACAACAAAAATATTTTTTAAAAAATTACAAATTAGTCTTATAAATTTTAGTATATTAAAAATACCCCTAAAAATTTACAAATTAGTCAATAAAATTATAATTTATTTCAAAAATTCCCAACAATAAATTAGTCCCTAAAGTTTTGAAATATTGCAAAAAAAAACCCCTAAAATTACAATTAATTCTTACAAATTTGATACATATCAATAACCCCCCTAAAACCTAGGGGTGTTCGGTTCCGAGTACCCTGCACTTGTTGAAGGAACCGGAACCGGAACTAGAACCGACGGTTCCTTGAAATTTGGAACCAGAACCGGAACCGACGGTTCCGGTTCCTAGGTACCCAGAACCAGAACCTGTAACAACGGTTCCGGTTCCGGTTCTGGTTCTGGGTACCTTGTAAAATTCATGACCCCCCAAAACTTTTTAAAATGATAAAAAAACCCTTAAAAACTTACAAATACCCCCCCACCTGGCACTTGTTAACAAAAATAAAAGTACAATTATAAATTCAAAATTACAAACTCTATTACTTTGTAAAGGTAGATTCTCGAAAGTCAAACTAACTTACTTTAAATGTTATTAAATATAAATATAAATGTAAATGTATTCACATTACTTTTTCTACAAAAGTTTTTATTAACCCCCCTAATCTTTAATTTTATTTTATATTAGTCTCGGTTCCTAGTTCCGGTTCCAGTTCCTAACTATAGAAACCAAAACCGGAACCGCACAGTAACGGTTCCAAATTTTTGGAACCGGAACCTACCCATTGACGACTGATTCTAGGTAGGAACCGAAACCAAACCCAAGGTACCCGTCGATTTCGGTTCCAACCGGTTCTTTTGAACACCCCTACTAAAACCTGAATCAGAGAGGATGTCAAGCCCCAATCAGGCCGGTTCAACAGGCCGATCCACTCCGGGTTTCAAAACAAAGCTGCTAGCCAATATTTCGTTATTAATTTAAATGAGGATAAATATAAAATTTTACGTTTTGTTTTTTTCTCTCTCTCTCTCTCTTGTATGAAATTTCTAATTTTCAAATAAAAGTTTTTGTTTGTCGGTAGTAATCCAAATTCCATCAAACAAGATAATTTTTATTTAATTTAATTTTTGAAAATAAAAGTCATTGTTCTTGTTAATTATCAAGATTTTATCGAGCAAAAAAATTGTTTTCAATTTAATATTGCCGTCATTTGCATTAATGTTCAACTCACATATAGACTTTTAAGAGAAAGAAAGCTTAGTGCAATGACCTCTTATCTGTGTCACCACCAATTGTTCGTTGCCACCGACTTCAAAATTCAAATTTCCATCCAAAACCGCTTTCCCTTCTTACATAATCGCATCATGAACTGCCAACTCAAAGAACTGGAACTCCAACACTACGCGAAGTTCTATGCTGCTTGTGTTTCAACGGGCATTAGGTCTCGTGCGGCCTAAAATAATTTATCCAAAGAGCTGCATTAGTCAAATCTACCGGTGGTGGTGATTGCAACTGTTGCTACTTGAACGGGTGGTGGTATCATAAACTTCCTATAGATCGAGGGAGCAAAATTTTCTACTTTTAACAATTGTCTACTCAGAAACAAAATTTGAAAAACTTCGTACACCCAAAATAGATATTAAGACTACCTAATTATTTTTCCAGATCTTGTTATGTACCAGTCCAACCAGGTATGTGTGCAGTGATGAAACTGGAGACACCCAAGTGTTTAAATGAAACCTTAATAACATAGACATCAGCATACAGCTAGATGCCCTCCACTCAAGCCTCAAGCCCCATGCATCAAGCCTGTCTTTCCTCGGCAAAACCATAATTGCCAGGACCAAGGCACCCCACCAAAAACAACAATGTCTCCAGAAGATTCTTCAGGGATCACAATGGAGAAATTAACAAACCAGGATTCTATTAGCACTAGAAAATCTCATCTTATCAGAGGTATTTCCTCTATGCTGGAGACCTAGCTTGATCACATGAGTGATTGCCATAGTCATAGTTTTTTTCCTAAATATGTTGGTTATGCAAGAAGGGAAAAGAAAATAAGGATAGTTGTGGATGAATTTATACTACTGAAATATCCAGCTCGTTCTATAACAGAAAGCATAGTTCCTTCCTCTTTTGGCACTCTGATTTCTCTGTTTTCAATAAGAGGTCAAGGGACAGACCCAGGATCATATTACATCTTTGTTAGGGGAGTTTTAATGGCCTTCGATACACTCAGAGGAACTAACAATCATCATAGCAACAAGCTTTGATAGCAAAATTATGGCCTAATTTCCCTCAAATATGGCCTGCTTCAACCAAGGNGATAAAAAAACCCTTAAAAACTTACAAATACCCCCCCACCTGGCACTTGTTAACAAAAATAAAAGTACAATTATAAATTCAAAATTACAAACTCTATTACTTTGTAAAGGTAGATTCTCGAAAGTCAAACTAACTTACTTTAAATGTTATTAAATATAAATATAAATGTAAATGTATTCACATTACTTTTTCTACAAAAGTTTTTATTAACCCCCCTAATCTTTAATTTTATTTTATATTAGTCTCGGTTCCTAGTTCCGGTTCCAGTTCCTAACTATAGAAACCAAAACCGGAACCGCACAGTAACGGTTCCAAATTTTTGGAACCGGAACCTACCCATTGACGACTGATTCTAGGTAGGAACCGAAACCAAACCCAAGGTACCCGTCGATTTCGGTTCCAACCGGTTCTTTTGAACACCCCTACTAAAACCTGAATCAGAGAGGATGTCAAGCCCCAATCAGGCCGGTTCAACAGGCCGATCCACTCCGGGTTTCAAAACAAAGCTGCTAGCCAATATTTCGTTATTAATTTAAATGAGGATAAATATAAAATTTTACGTTTTGTTTTTTTCTCTCTCTCTCTCTCTTGTATGAAATTTCTAATTTTCAAATAAAAGTTTTTGTTTGTCGGTAGTAATCCAAATTCCATCAAACAAGATAATTTTTATTTAATTTAATTTTTGAAAATAAAAGTCATTGTTCTTGTTAATTATCAAGATTTTATCGAGCAAAAAAATTGTTTTCAATTTAATATTGCCGTCATTTGCATTAATGTTCAACTCACATATAGACTTTTAAGAGAAAGAAAGCTTAGTGCAATGACCTCTTATCTGTGTCACCACCAATTGTTCGTTGCCACCGACTTCAAAATTCAAATTTCCATCCAAAACCGCTTTCCCTTCTTACATAATCGCATCATGAACTGCCAACTCAAAGAACTGGAACTCCAACACTACGCGAAGTTCTATGCTGCTTGTGTTTCAACGGGCATTAGGTCTCGTGCGGCCTAAAATAATTTATCCAAAGAGCTGCATTAGTCAAATCTACCGGTGGTGGTGATTGCAACTGTTGCTACTTGAACGGGTGGTGGTATCATAAACTTCCTATAGATCGAGGGAGCAAAATTTTCTACTTTTAACAATTGTCTACTCAGAAACAAAATTTGAAAAACTTCGTACACCCAAAATAGATATTAAGACTACCTAATTATTTTTCCAGATCTTGTTATGTACCAGTCCAACCAGGTATGTGTGCAGTGATGAAACTGGAGACACCCAAGTGTTTAAATGAAACCTTAATAACATAGACATCAGCATACAGCTAGATGCCCTCCACTCAAGCCTCAAGCCCCATGCATCAAGCCTGTCTTTCCTCGGCAAAACCATAATTGCCAGGACCAAGGCACCCCACCAAAAACAACAATGTCTCCAGAAGATTCTTCAGGGATCACAATGGAGAAATTAACAAACCAGGATTCTATTAGTACTAGAAAATCTCATCTTATCAGAGGCATTTCCTCTATGTTGGAGACCTAGCTTGATCACATGAGTGATTGCCATAATCATAGTTTTTTTCCTAAATATGTTGGTTATGCAAGAAGGGAAAAGAAAATAAGGATAGTTGTGGATGAATTTATACTACTGAAATATACAGCTCGTTCTATAACAGAAAGCATAGTTCCTTCCTCTTTTGGCACTCTGATTTCTCTGTTTTCAATAAGAGGTCAAGGGACAGACCCAGGATCATATTACATCTTTGTTAGGGGAGTTTTAATGGCCTTCGATACACTCAGAGGAACTAACAATCATGATAGCAACAAGCTTTGATAGCAAAATTATGGCCTAATTTCCCTCAAATATGGCCTGCTTCAACCAAGGATTTCACTGATACGGGTAAGAGCCTGGCAAATCAAAGTTCTTTGAATTTTAAGACCCTAGTGACAAAGAGAAAAACAACCTTTATTCAACTATTTAGACTTTTGTGGTAATTTGGTCCATCCAGTGTATCCTGATTATCATTCTCACCTCAAAGTTATGTACTGGTCTAGGAATGAAAATTCGAAATTCATGCTCATGTGATAACATAACGGATCAAACAACAGTGGTTTCCTAATTTAAAGACATAATTCCAAAATTAAGTTGCTTCTCATATAACAAAACTGGTAACACATGGACTAGATACATTCAAATTAAGATAACAAGTACAGACCCTACATGACTAATATATATATATATATATGGGTGGAATTTACCAGTCACACTTCATTCAATCTGGTTTCTTTAAATTCAAGCAATTATCCACTGCTTGGCTGAACAACTCTTGCACCTGTTTCAATTCCTTCTCTGTTACCAAGGAAATTATGGAGATTGTTAGTTCTTCCAATCGAAAATAATCCAGCACCTAGGAAATAAAAAATTAAGGGGGCACGGATAAACCAAGAAAAGAAAGATTAAAAAAGACATAGATACCACAGATCATCTATTATAGTCAGCCAGAGAATAGTTAAGAACATTAATATCCAAAGAAAAGGCATAGATATCACATATTATCTAGTACAGTCAGCAGCAGATTTGTTATGCAAACAATGTTCAATGGAAATTATATTATATTTATGAATAATTTTCCCAATTATACAACCAGGTCTTTTACAGTTCTCAAAAGCAACCCAGATACATAATTGACCACAACATCTTACGTCCTGAGATCTGACCCTCAATGCGTGGAGATATAGTGTAGAGTTCTACCATTCATAATTGTTAGTCCATTTTCATAATGCCTATTATATCTGAGTTTCACAGTCACAATTATGTTGTTGGCCTTTATATATAGAAGTAAGTTTGAAAAAAAAAAAAAAAATTGTCCTCAAAAGGAGGAAAAAACAGCCTAACATTCTAACAAATCATGGCATCAATTTGTAAAGCAAAAAGGTTTGAGAGTTCACCAGCAGCTTCTAGTTGCCTCTGCAACTCTTGACCCACAGCATCATTCTCGGACTGCAATTGAATTTACCAGAAAAAATAAAAAGTTACACCATCTGTGAAACATATAAATAATAAATTTGAGAAATCTGAATCCCTAAACTCCATAGCCTATACCTGGAGTTCTGCAATCCTTTTCAATTGAGCTTCTTCACCACCCTCAGCTAATGGAAGAGCTGCCACCAATGCATCAAACTGCAGTAGAAATACAATATGTTGAACTGCTCATCAATTAACTTTCTAGTAAGCAGAATACTTCTTAATCAATGAATCTTATATTGTGATCGACAGAAAAAATAGGGAGGTTGATGACCAAAAAACTAATATTTGAACGGGCCAATTATCAATGACAAACCAGAAAAGTTTCAACCATAACTCCAAGCCTAACAATAACAATTTCAATGCATTGCCAAAATTTTATTCTATAGGAAAGACAAGTCAGATGAAATTTTTATAATATTCTGCCTATTCTATATAAGTGAATGTTTGGTACTGCTCTTCAGACTTTAGTCAACAACAAACATTCATTGATCTAAAGAAAATAAATCCTAGACAATCTGCCTGTCCTGGTGGATCAACATATTATATGGGTTTGTCTCTGACAATCAGAACCTCCAACAGCCTATTAGTAAAATGGTGATTGCAAAAAAGTGCACACGCAATACTAGATGAGAAGAGAACTCAAGTTTTAGCAATAATTCAAATAAAGTACTCTATTCAAGTCAACACGAACCTGCTTAGCTGCTTTTACAAGAGCAGCACTCATGAGCTTGGGTTGCTCCAGAAAACTTGCCGCGTCCTCTGGAGGATTCGTAGCTGGTGGTTCTGGGTAGTTTGGAGAGAGCCTAACAGGAGGAGCATCCCTTTGCAGGGTCCCAAAGGTATTAAAGGCAATGCCCGCAATTTGATTCACTTGTTCTTGTAACTGTGAAATGATGTCCATCCTGCAAAAGTTAACACTTAAATTGTCAAGGTTCATACTCTCACAGATAACCTATTAAGAAAACAACTTTCACCTAAAAAGGAAAACGCCTCATTCTCCACCAATTAAACCAAAATATAACTTCTTAGCTGATATTGATTCATAAATAAGCCAAAAACAATTGCCGGCTAATCTATTACAAATTAGAAATATCAATCAGAAAAATAGACTGACTTAATTGAGCTGAATTTCACAATGCGATTTCTCAAAAACAATAACCGAAAAGCCACAAGAAAACTTATGAAGATTTACACTTTTAATTTTCTTATTATTTAATCAGGAAACAAACAAAAATAAAGAGAACTTGAAGAAATATTAAAATGGGTAAGAGTACCTAAAATGGGTCGAGAAAATTCTGGAAAGCAGAAAGGTGAGCACTCTACTTTGCAATTGATTGTGAGCTAAACCAAGAAAAAAGTACGGGTAAGGATTTGGATTCTCGGTTGTGGATTAGAGATGTACTGGGCGGTTCTTAACTGGAATCCTGTAATTAAACATAAAATATTTCCAATAAAGAAACAAATACACTCACCAATTATAATTGATATTAAAAAATATAATACAAAAATTAAAACAAAACTCCAGAGAAGAAAAAAAAAAAACTGAATATTCAAAACAACAAACCCAAAACTCAAACCGAAATAAAATTTTTGCACTCTAAGCAATAAAATCAAAATACACAGAGACAATCACAAAATACAATTGAAATTGAAATTAAAAAATAAAAAAGCACAAAGGGACTTCCATAATTAATCAAAACACGGTCTCATCTATTTCAGATTCAGCTTGCTTTTTAGAAGAAAAATATGGTCTTGAGGTTGTGAACCGAAAATGAAGACAAACCAAACACAAGATAACCCATAGGTAACAAAAAATACAATGTGAAACGAGATTTCTGAACTTAAAATAAACACAAGTAACCCATAATTAAAAAAAAAAAAAGTACAATGTTAATTGAAATTTTCAATTATTTATATACTTTCCCATTACCACATGCAAAATCCAAATTCATCTCTTCCCCGCACCTCCAAATGCAAGGCTTTTAATGAACAACACACAATTCCAATATACAATCCAGAAGCTTTATAAAAGAAAATAAAGAAAATAAACAGCACCTACCACTTCGCTTGGATCAGAAAGTTTATAAGTCATCGGAAAAAGAGATTGAGGAGTGACTGGGTCTTTTCGACGACGAAGATCGGAAAGGAGTTGAGGGCTTTCGGCTAGTCGACAATAGGGATCGGAGAGGAGTGACAAGTTCGGAAAAGAAGTAAAGGACTTCACTCCTAAACAAGGACTTTAAATTAATATTTATTTTTTTTTTTTTATATTTATATACCTAATGACAAACATACCCTCGACCTCGATTATGATTAAAGATGAATGCCGAAATTTTTTCGAAAATTCAAACCCTTGGCCAAATAAACATTATTTGAGCCTTCCAGGATGATACAGTTTAGATTAATAATTTAGAAGTACATATAACATATCTCACCTCAAGATACACAAGAGTTAAACTTTAAAAGAAATTAAGCAACCATTTTATTCGTAGATGTTTGATTTTGATACCAACCACTCGCACATATAAATTGTTAAATTGTTCTTAAGAATTATACGTAAATGATTGAGATAATCAAATGCAAAAACTAAATAATAAATGAGAGATGGTTTTTAAAGTGGTTCGGATGTTTAAAACGAATCATACGTCTACTTTTCTATTATATATGAGAGATTACAAAATATTACGTATAGCGAGCAGAGGTACAATAACTTAATAGTTAGAGAGAATATCAAGTCAATCTCTTTTTCATAAATTGTCTTTGCTCTAAAAATAAATATTACAATCAAAATAAGGTTTTTAGATCAGAATCCCAGAAATGAAAAGGGGAGTCCTCTATTTATAGTAGAGGAATTTAAGGTAATGATTACAAATCTACAAGTGAGAGGTGTTGTGTAAGTCCTTCCTTACCTCCCATTGACTGATAACTTAGGAAATATCATCAAATTATCTAGGGCTTGGCAAGTGTGCAGTCCTCTATCACTTATAGACAAAACATGAATCTGCCAAATTGATGACAGTTATATTCTTCCTATCATGGATCGACATGGTAGCTTCTAGACGGTGCAAAACTTTCATGAACTTTGATTGGTGCTTGTTGATGTAGACCAACGTCAGCCTTGATTTTTTTGGCATAACATTATTGAATTAAAATATTCACACACACACACACACACACACACACACATATATATATATATATATGAACAAATTTTAATATAATTTTTAATTATTATTTGTCTTTTGTCTTTTGTCTTCTGTTAAAAGCTAATCTATTGATTTTATTTGAAAATTATTTAGGAGTAGTTTTTTGAGATAAAATAGCAACCTGGTTGTTCCTATTGAACTAGCTAGATAATTTATGGATTTTAATTGCACCAAAAAAATAAAAAATAAAACAAACTCATACAAAAACATGAAACAGGTCATGGTTTCTTTCACCCTTTACCATTAATAATAACATTATACAATATAAAATTAAAATATATATACAACACAACAAAATTGTATTATTTTAGATCATGAACTAGGAACCTCAATGACATAGAAATCAAATAAATAACTATAAGCCCACCTCCCAATACCCCGTCAAGCCTCATCCCTCTCCATGGCAAAACCATAAGTGCCCACACCAATGCCCCCACCAAAAACCCCAATGTCTCCAAGAGAAATGGGTCTTCCAGGATCACCATTGATGATGGATAATCTCTCCAACAAGACCCAACAAGAGACAAGCCCAGCCCAAACACAATGTTGAAGATTGGCCCTGCATAACACCCTGAAATTGCAACCTGTGCCCCTTGGGATTCTCCATTCAAAGACATTGTTAAATTTGTGATCAAATCTCCAAGTGAATTGCCCCAAGCGAGGACTGTGAGCCCCAGAAGTGAAGGTTTTATGCCCAAAATGTACCCAACTGAAACCAACAAGGCCACCAATTCTTGAGCTGTGATGTAACTCCAAACCATACTCATTAAGAATCCTCCTGCCAGCCAGGGGAATAGGCAGTATTTTGGAGGGCTTGATTTCTCTGTTGTTAAAAATGCAAGAACCCCTAAAGCAAATCCTGTTAATAAACCAATTCCACACACCATCAGGCTTTCAGGATTCCAAAGGGCTGCCACGAGAATTGGTGACAATGTCACTGAAGTAACCGCAATTGGCTTTGACCATTTCTTTTCACAAACTACAGGAATTGTCAGTCTTCTAGGTAAATAAAGGGGCATCTCAAGAATATAAAGTATCATATTACAAAAGAAACAATTACTGGTCTCTGCAGAAGTTACATCTTCTAAATTTCCTTCCTCTAAAGAATTAGACTCTCTTTTTTCAATTAGAATAGGTACACTTAGATCACCACCATAGCTTGCAGATTCTTCTGTTTCACTTTCTTCGCCACTTATATGATAACAAATGACTGAGAGATATACAATAACCACATAAACAACATACATCGAGGAAAAACCAATTGCCCCCCACAGGTTGATTTTGCCGCGAATCAAGATCACAACTAAGGATGCAAGAACAAGAAGGAAGAAGCAAACGTCTCTGATAAAGGCATATTTGTTCACTCGAACACTTCTTTTATGCAAGCAAATGCATATAGTTCCAACCACAACACAAGTCACAAAAGAAGCCGCACCTAGCACTGTATTAAGGCCAATGTCACTTGTCCCACTGCCCATAAAGGACACCAAACTGGCAAAAACATCAGGGGCGCCATTACCGAGAGACAGGAGAGTCACTCCGGCAATCGTGGGGGACAAATCTAGCAGCCTCGATAGGCTTTCAAGCGAAGAACAGAAGTATTCAGAGGCTGTATTTCCCAAGAGATAGAAGAGAACCAAAAGCCAAAGAAAGATGAGAAAATATCCCAGAAAGGGAAATCTTCCAAAACTGCAATAAAATAGGTAAAGATAGTCAATATAGCCTTGAGAGACACATCGGTTACCGGATTTCAGGTAAAGGCATTTGGCTTTGTAGCCATCTAACTTCTCTAGAACCTTGCAGTCTTGTTGATTATTATCAAAACTGCTTGAAACAAGAAATTCTGAAGAGGTGAAATATATAACCAAGAGAATGACACTACCTACTAAGAGAAATGAAACGTTCAAGAAGAATATCAAGTATTTCTTGTGCTGTGATACAAAACCTAAGGTGCCCATAAGAGATTGAAGAAACAAAAAGGAATGGATAATAATAACTAACCTTTAACTAAATGCATTTGACATAAAAGTAGAGGGTAAGAATGGAATCCTGGAACAGTAAAAGCAAATTTGGAGGCATGTACCAAGTGGGACATCGATATTAGATGGTGGGAATTCGATTGAGACTTGCTTACGAATTAAGCATACACTTGTCTCGTGGTTGAGTAGGCCATTTTATTGAGAAGCACATGAAACCAATACAACTGCAAGTGTCGGCCGTTACAGGTCTCAGTTCTTGATCTTGTTAAAGAGAGAAGACGAGAAGGAGGAGCATTGAATGTTTAGCATATGTGGCGATTCCTTAATGGCAACACAAATTAATTAACAACTAGCTGGACCTAACTGGTTGTATGATTTGATGTATATAATTAGACATGGGTTATCCAATGTTCTTAAAAGCAAATCTACTCCAACAAAATAAACTAATTACGTTAAAACATAATAAATATTAAATTATATAAATTTTAAAATAAAAATAAATTATATACATATACAAAATTATAATAAATGTTATATTATACAAATTTTAAAGTAAATATAAATTATATATATACAAAATTATATTAAGATAAAATTAATAATTATACATATATAATTATAAATATTAATTATAGGTAGATGTTATTAAATCATTCATCCAACTTGAGAAGATCACCTAAATATTATATACTCTAATTATATTTTCAGGATCATCATCTTGTACAATTGATATTATTTTTACAGACATGTCTTTGATATCAGATGTCAGTAGTTTGGAGTGAATCGTGTATGATATTTAATATCACCTGAATATTATCAAGATCAACTATTTAAACTCAAAATTTATATTGACCTTTCACAATTTCTGTAACTTATATTCATTTTCAAGTTGTGTTGCACGGGTATGTTTATTATATTTTTTTACATTATTATTGGGTTTTTTTTTTTGTGTGTTTTAAATATATATTTTATAAATTGAAGTTCATTTTATATTGAATTGATAATTAAAAAATCAATAAATAAAATATCCACAAATTTAACTCAAAATTTATTTCATCATGGTTCTTCTCAAATATGTTACCATTTGACATTTGCTACCAAAGTTTAAAACTTTGTCAAGAAAAGCAAAAAATTTGCAAGATAACCCACTGGGTATTATTGATAAGTCTATAAATTAATCAAAGAAAGAGAAACATTGTTAAAAAAATGTGAACTTTTAAGCAAGAGACTTGCAGAGCCAAAGGAAAAAATTGATTTTGATTGTTGAGAAGAGAAAATGAATTATTTTTATTATTATTATTTTAGAAATAAAAAAATTAAGAATGTTGAGAAGATAACTCACATAGAAAGCAACAACAACTCCAACAGTACAATCTGAAGGCAACTTAATTAAAGCATTGAAGAAGTCATGAAGATAAAGGTCCTGTAACACAAATTCATTTGCTGCAATTAGAATTGACCACCACCTATAGCAAAAAAAAAAAAAAAAAAAAGAAAGACATTTGATGATAGCATCCTAAAGAAAGACGATAATTGTAAAACCCACAAATCAAACAACAAAATCAATCCAAAAATCAACAAAAAGAGATAGAACAAATATAATTAAAACTACATATCAATATTTGTTTTCTTTTGTCATCACTAAAATTGAATTTGTTTTATGTGTGCGATGATAAAATGAATGGTTTGGCAGCAGGTCTATAGTTATCCTAATTTACCATATAACATATCAAATTAAAGCCCTATATTTCTAGTTTTCAAAGATTCAAACCGTTCATCAATTGGATTTTTATTGAGCAAGATATGGCTAATTTACTACTGACTCTTCAATGAAAATCAAGAAACATGAGAAACCAAAATGTGTGTGATGATAAAATGAATGGTCCGACAGTGGGGCTACAGTGATCCAAATTGAGCGTATAATATATAAAATTAAAGCTCTGTCTATCTAGTTTCTAAAGGTTCAAACCTCTCATAAATTAGATTTTTATTGAACAAGTTATGGTCAATTTACTACTGACTGTTTAGTGGAAATCAAAATGTGTGTGATGATAAAATGAATGGTTCGGAAGTGGAGCTATAAGCGTATAATATATAAAATTAAATCTCTATCTGTCTAGTTTCTAAATATTCAAAATTCTCATTAATTGGAATTTTATTGAGAACGTTATGGTCAATTTACTACTGACTATTCAGTGGAAACTGAAATATATGTGATGATAAAAGGAATTGTTTGACAATGGGGCTACAGTTATCCAAATTAAGCGTATAATATATCAAATTTAAGCCTTGTATGTCTAGTTTCTAAAGATTCAAACCTCTCATCAATTGAAGTTTTATTGAGCAAGTTATGATCAATTTACTACTAATTGTTCAGTGGAAACCTAAATATGTATGATGATAAAATGAATGGTTTACTAAAGCTACAAGGTTTAGCCTCAAACATCAGTTGATATTTGTTAAATAAATGAAATAAGTTATATTTAGCAACAAACTCTTTTCATAATATATGTATATAACATAAAAGATATCATCAAAAAGAGATAAAACAATTATAATTAAAACTATATATCAATATTTGTTTTCATTTAAGGATAATAATAATTGTTCGGTATATTATTAATGGTTTACTAAAGCTACATGGTTCGGCAACAAACATCAGACGATATTTGTGATGCAACTAAAATTTGTTATATTCAGCAACAATATGTTTTTTATATATGTATGTAACATAAAACAATATCAACAAAAAGAGATAGAACAAATATAATTAACACTACATATCAATATTTGTTTTCCTTTATCATCGCTAAAATTCAATTGGTTTTATGTGTGTGATGATAAAATGAATGGTTCAGCCGCAAGTCTATAGTTATCCAAATTCTTCGTATAATATATCAAATTAAATCTCTATATTTCTAGTTTCTAAATATTCAAACAGCTCATCAATTGGATTTTTATTGAGTAACTTATGGCTAATTTACTACTGATTGTTCAGTGGAAATCAAGAAACAGGGGAAACCGAAATGTGTATGATGATAAAATAAATGGTTTGAAAGTGGGGCTACATTTATCCAAATTAAGTATATAATATATAAAATTAAAGCCCTGTTGACTAGTTTCTAAATATTCAAACCTCTCATCAATTTGAGTTTTATTGAGCAAGTTGTGGTCAACTTACTACTTATTGTTCAGTGGAAACCGAAATGTGTGACGATAAAAGACATGGTTTGGTAGTGGGGCTACAGTTATCCAAATTAAGCGTGTAATACACCAAATTGAAGGCATGTATGTCTAGTTTCTAAATATTTAAACCTCTCATCCATTGGAGTTTTGCTGAGTAAGTTATAGTCAATTTACTACTGATTGTTCAGTGGAAACTAAAATGTGTGTGATGATAAAAGAAATGGTTTGGAAGTAGAGCTACAGTTATCAAAATTAAACGTATAATATATCAAATTAAAGTCCTATCTATCTAGTTTTCAAAGAGTTAAACCAATTATTAATTGGATTTTTATTGAGTAAGTTATGGCTAATTGACTACTAACTATTCAATAGAAATCGAGAAACAGGAGAAACCAAAATGTGTGTGATGATAAAAGGAATTGTTTGGCAGTGGGGTTACAGTTATCTAAATTAAGCGTATAATATATCAAATTAAATTCTTTTTTATCTAGTTTTTAAAGATTCAAACCTTTCATCAATTAGATTTTTATTGAGCAAGTTATGATCAATTTACTACTGACTGTTCAATGGAAGCAGAAATATGTGTGATGATGAAAGGAAAGGTTCGGAAGTAGGGACTACAGTTATCCAAATTAAGTGTATAATATATCAAATTAAAGTCTTGTCTATCTAGGTTCTAAAGATTCAATCTTCTCATCAATTAGATTTTTATTGAGCAAGTTATGGTTAATTTATTATTGATTGTTCAGTGGAAACTGAAATGCATACGATGATAAAATGAATGGTTTACTTAACCCAAATTTAAGGGATTATCGTATTAAGACTGATAAGAAATATTTCAAATAACACCTATTAATTGGAAAACAGAATCAACCAAAATTAATTAATTTAACATATATACTCGCACATCAACAAGACATAAACAATTAATCATTCATATAATAAATTAAAATATACAAATGTTTTTACAGAAAACATATTCAACACAATTGAACTGTTTCTACTAATATAGATATGACACATACTCACAGTTCGGCTAATAATAGGATCATCCTCGATTTGATCTTAGTAAAGTACAAAAACATTTCCTTGAAAAAAAAACATAACAAAATCTAATCGATCTTCATGTTAAGATTTGTTAAGGAACAATTATTCATTCGTATAACAACTGTTACCTGAAAACGAAATCAACAAAAGTTAATTAATCTTCATATTAAAATTGTTAAAGAATACACTTACCGTTCGGTAGGACTAACACAATTAATCATTCAAATAGATTGATCAAACAAAAACAATCATTCAATCAAATAATAACCGTTAAAATAGTTAGGAGATATACTTACAATTTTGTATTAAAATAGTTAGAAGATATGCGTACAGTTCAGAAGAACGAATCAAAATAACAACTCATTTGACAATATTAATCGGACATCATGTCGTTATTCCATGCCGATTCATGAATCTTTGACCTATAAACAACAACAAAAGCATAAATAAATAAAAAATCATTGATTAATAAAATCATGAAGAATAGACGTATTATTGACACAAACTAACATGACCTATAAACAATTAACAAAAGACCAGACGTATTGTTGACACCAACTAACATATTGCAATAATACACAACTTAACATACACCCCTTTTATAACCCCTTATTTAGACATTTCGAATGCCAACACAATTAAATACGAATTGAATACGAAGAAATGTTTGTAATGTAAATGCAATGCACCCATATAATTATTAATAAACAGATATGTTTTTAATACCAATGCAATGCACCTATGTAATCCAATCTTTATGTCTATTTATTTAGACTTTGGAATACCAATGCAACGATTAATATTGTCTACATCATCACCAATAAAATTCAACCACATGGCAATCACAAATCCAAGGTGTCCTTATGGTTAGACCTTTAAAATATCAATGCAATGCACCTATATAATTAGTATTATTATTAATTATTAATACAACAATGTAGTGCACTTATTTAATCCAATCTTTATGTCTATTTATT